AGGAGGATTTTAAATTCTATTCTACATTTTACAGGGAGCCAATGCAGAGAAGCTAGTACAGGAGAGATGTGATCTCTTTTTCTAGTTCCTGTCAGTACTCGTGCTGCAGCATTCTGAATTAATTGGAGCGTTTTAATGGACTTATTGGGGCAACCTGATAATAAAGAGTTGCAGTAATCCAGCCTTGAAGTAACAAATGCATGGATTAGTTTTTCTGCATCTGTCTGTGATAGTATGTGTCTAATTTTTCTAATATTACGTAAATGAAAGAAGGCAGTCCTAGAGGTCTGCTTTATGTGGGAGTTAAATGACAAATCCTGATCAAAGATAACTCCAAGATTGCTGACAGTGGTGCTAGAGGCCAAGGTAATGCCATCTAGAGTAACTATAACTTTAGACAGTGAGTCTCTGAGGTTTTTGGGGCCAAGAACAAGAATTTCGTTTTTTTCTGAGTTTAACATCAGAAAATTGCAGGTCATCCAGGATTTTATGTCCTTAAGACATGTTTGTAATTTAGATAACTGATTAATTTCATTGGGCTTGATTGATAGATATAACTGCGTATCATCTGCATAACAGTGAAAGTTAATGGAGTGATTCCTAATAATGTTGCCTAAAGGGAGCATATATAAAGTAAATAGTATTGGTCCAAGTACAGAACCTTGTGGAACTCCATGACTAACTGTAGTATTTATTGAAGATTCATCGTTAACATGTACAAACTGCGAGCGATCTGATAAATATGACTTAAACCAGCTTAGTGCGGTTCCTTTAATGCCAATTTGATGCTCAAGTCTCTGTAAAAGAATATTATGGTCAATGGTGTCAAATGCAGCACTGAGATCTAATAATACAAGTACAGAGACAAGTCCATTGTCAGAAGCAGTCAGAAGGTCATTATTAACTTTAACCAGAGCTGTCTCTGTGCTGTGATGAACTCTAAATCCTGACTGAAAATCCTCAAATAAACTATTGTTATGTAGAAAGTCACACAACTCTTTGGCGACTACTTTCTCCAGAATCTTAGAGAGGAAGGGGTGGTTAGAAATCGGTCTATAGTTGGCTAAAACCCCTGGGTCAAGAGTGGACTTTTTAAGAAGGGGTTTAATTACAGCTACTTTAAAAGGACTGTGGTACATATCCTGATAATAAAGAAAGATTAATCATATCCAGTAAAGAAGTGCCAATTAAGGGAACAACTTCTTTAAGCAGCCTAGTTGGGATGGGGTCTAATAGACAGGTTGATGGCTTCGATGAAGAAATGATTGAAGTTAACTGATGAAGATCGATAGCAGAAAAACAGTCTAAATATATCTAAGTTTACATTGGCAAAAGTCCCTGAACTTGGAGAGCCACTCATAACTGTTGATGGCAGTTGGTGATTAATTTTCTCTCTAATAGTAATAATTTTATTATAGAAGAAGCTCATGAAGTCATTGCTACTTAAGTTTATGGGGATATGTGGCTCAATAGAGCTGTGGCTCTCTGTCAGCCTGGCTACAGTGCTGAAGAGGAACCTAGGGTTATTCTTATTTTCTTCTATTAGTGCTGAGTAATAGGCTCCTCTGGCATTACGGAGGGCCTTTCTATAAGTTTTAAGATTATCTTGCCAATTTGAGCGATATTCTGATAATTTGGAAGTGCGCCATTTCCTTTTAGATTTCCTAGCTATTTGTTTTAACTGGCGGGTTTGGTGGTTATACCAAGGTGCTAGTCTCCTATGTTTTAATAATTTCCTTTTTATAAGAGCGATAGAGTCTAATGTTGATCGTAGTGAGCCTGTAGCACTATCGACAAGATTATCAATTTCAGAGGGACTAAAGCCGTTATAGGATTCTGTTAAATTCAGACATGGCATTGAATTAAACACTGAAGGAATCTCCTCCTTAAATTTAGCTACAGCACTGTCAGATAGACATCTGCTGTAGGAAGTTTTGCCTAATGGCTTATAATCTAATAATATGAATTCAAAAGTTATTAAATAATGGTCAGATAGGAAAGGATTATGTGGGAAGACTATTAAATGTTCAATATCAATGCCATATGATAGAACAAGGTCAAGAGTGTGATTAAAACAATGAGTTGGTTTATTTACACTCTGACAGAAGCCAATTGAGTCTATTAATGATATAAATGCATTACTAAGGCCGTCATTGTTAACATCCACATGAATATTAAAATCACCTACAATAATTACTTTATCTGATTTAAGCACTAAACTTGATAAAAACTCTGAGAATTCAGATATAAAGTCAGAGTACCGTCCAGGAGCGCGGTACACTATAACAAATAGAACTGGCTGCAGTGTTTTCCAGGATGGGTGAGAAAGACTAAGAACAAGGCTTTCAAATGAATTATAATTTAGTTTAGGTTTAGGGTCCATTAAAACGCTCAAATCATATATGGCTGCTACTCCACCTCCTCGGCCTGTGCCTCGAGGAATGTGAGTATTAATATGACTGGGGGGGGTGGATTCATTTAGGCTAACATACTCCTCGTGGGACAACCAGGTCTCAGTAAGTATTATCAATATCATAATCTGATATTAATTAATTCACTAAAACAGCTTTAGAGGACAGAGACCTGATATTTAACAGTCCACATTTCATTCTCTTATTTTGTGATACTGAGGAGTTAGTTTTAATTTTTATTAGATTTTTATGTTGAACTCCTCTTGTTTTTATTTCTTTAAATAGTTTAGGTGGTCGGGGGACAGACACAGTCTCTATGGGGTTTTGGGTGGGTGACTGTTCTAAAGAAAGCGCAGAGAAGTGTGTAAGACAGCAGCTCTGCTTCCTGGTCCCAACTCTGGACTGTCAGGTTTTAGAGATAAACTTCGCCATATTTCTAGATAAGAGAGCCGCTCCATCCAAAGTGGGATGGATGCCGTCTCTCCTAATCAGACCAGGTTTTCCCCAAAAAGGCTTCCAGTTATCAATGAAGCCCACATCGTTTGCTGGACACCACCTCGACAGCCAGCGGTGGAATGACGACATGCGGCTATACATGTCATCACTGGTCACATTGGGTAGGGGTCCAGAGAAAACTACGGTGTCCGACATTGTCTTAGCATAGTTACACACCGACTCCACATTAATCTTAGTGACCTCCGATTGACGTAAACGGGTGTCATTACCGCCGACGTGGATAACAATCTTATTGTATTTACGTTTATCTTTAGCCAGCAGTTTTAAATTTGATTCAATGTCGCCCGCTCTGGCCCCAGGGATACATTTAACTATGGCCGCTGGCTTCGCTAAATTCACGTTTCTGACTATGGAGCTGCCAATAACCAGAGTTGGTTCCTCAGCGGGTGTATCGCTGAGTGGGGAAAAGGTATTAGAAACATGAATGGGTTGGTGGTGAACTGTGGGCTTCGCCGTTTTAGTCTTCCTTCGCTCAGTCACCCAGCCTCCCTGTCTTCCCGGCTGCTCGGTAACTACCGGAGAACGGCTAACAGAAGCTACCTTCGGTCGGACCGCACCGGCTACCGGGGGCTGGCTAACTATAGCGGCTAAAGATATCTCCGTGGTGCGGTACCGTTCCTCTAACTCACTAAGCCTCGCCTCCAGCGCAGTAAATAAACTACATTTAATACATGTACCATTATCATTAAAGGAGGCAGAGGAATAACTGAACATCTGACACACTGAGCAGGACAGAGGAGAGGGAGAGGGAGAAGCCATAGCTAACTGCTAATGTTACTGAAACTAGAGTGTATGAAAAACTTTAAAAGTAGTGAAAAGTCGCTAAAAGAAGAGTAACTCCGAGTGTTTAGGTAGAACTAGTCTACGTTTAAATGTTAAGCGGGAAAATAACCGCTGTAACGAGTAAAACAAATTTAGATTTAGCGTTCACTGACAGAGCTACAGCACCAAACAGTGTACACAGAGCAGGAAGTAAACCGGAAATGATTCAGTACGCTTACCGTAGCACGTCACCAGAAGGAAACCAACATCAGAGCAGACAGCAGACAGACGGACAGAGAGACGCTCTACCTGGACATGGATCACCTGTTGGTGCTGTTGCTGTTGCTCATGACAGCAAAGGTTAATGTTGTATCATTTTATCATTTAATAGTTCATACATGATAGCCTACATTACTTTCTCTTTGTAAATAAAACAGTGTGGTATGGTGTCTTACTTTTCACCACAAGTGTCTGAATATTGCACTAGGTGACCTTTTTTACAGTTCATTTATTTACTTGTTTATTTTTTATTTATTTAGTCAGAATCCTAATAGAATTAATTCAGGACACTTTTCATAAAGAGCAAGTAGCAATGGTACAACTGAACAGGCTGCAGGTCTTGAAATGTGGACTTTAGGCTGCCATTAGGGCCTGTTCGAGAGCACTGAAAATACTCTTAGTCCTACACTCAACTTACAGCAACTCATATCTGTGCTTATTAATATTGCAGTCAATATTCAGCATACAGATATACAGAGTTCATAAGGCCATCATAAATCATAAATATCCTCTCTTGAGCATCATTCATATGTGTTGTTTAGATCAAACATTATTTTTATTACTTAACTGTGACTCTGAAAACATAAATTAAATGTAGTTGGTTTTCAACGAACAAGTACATAACACATCTCTGATAAAAGAAAGGATGACTGTTCTCATGACTGTTACATCCTGCTTCCAGTCTTCATGTTAAGCTAGGCTACTCAAATCCTGACTCTAGCTCAGGACAGACATGGGATTGTACTTATAGAAAGCTTATAGAACGTCAGTACAGTTTACTATAGCAATTTTAATATCTTACCCTCACGATAACCATGAGAGTCGAATCAGCATCTCTCTCAACAGAAACATGTTAAGATTCATAAATGTAGGATTTATTTCTGTTGGATTGAATGTACTTGTGGGGCACCTGGTAACCCATGAGTAGCCTATGAGGTGCCTACAGAGCATCTTCTTTATTCTGTATTTTTTTCAAAACACTTGCAAGGAAGTGTACAAATGGGTCCCATTTTGTCAAAACATTCAAACACATCACTGATATATTTTTATTAATTAAAACAGAATATTGGGACTAGACTTCATTACATGTTCTGAGTGGTTCTCTATTCTGCCCTTCTGCATTTTGGGGTTCCTTATCTGTATCCCAGTGGTGGCTTGAGCCCTTGCCCAGTTCCATTTTTAGATTTTGACTGAGTTTATAGCAGTATATTTCTCATAAGATTTTTCAGTTTTAATACCACCACCAGAGAAAAAATAACACCCACAATTCCAACTGAAACTGGTTCAACCCTGTATGTGTAAATCACTAAAGCTCCCTCTAGGTAGCCCTCACTTTCAAAAAGGTTGAAGAGGCCTGCCCTTGACAAATGCCTACGGTCCATGACAAGGTACATACATGGTCATTTGGTCAAACACTTAAAACAATGTTTATGTCTTCTTGTCTAGCAACCGTAGTGGTTGAGCGAATAATGACTGTTGAGAAGCAACGGTGGAAGTATTGTGAGACTGTAATAGTGCCAGAGGAGGTTGTATTGAATAGTTGGGAGTAGAAAGTGTCTCACTTTGACTACATCCCACCATGCTCCTTCCAACATTTCCTACTACCACTCAACTATGTTTTGTTTTTTTTAACCATCATCACTTTTGTTCTCTAGTGTGAATGTCTAGATGTAGTTGCCTAAACTTAAACAAGCCTTAACCATAGAGGTGGTAGATGAGAATAATGATTTTTTGTAACGGTCACATTTCTTTTTGAAGAACACGAATATACAATGTTATTGTGACAATAGGACTAGAAAATGCTGAAATTTGCTGAAGATATTCACAAACTAACCGTCCTCATTTGGTGGTAATATGAGTTTCTGTTTGGTTCCACTGTCAGGCCAAATTTTCGACTTTACACAGAGGAGATATCTTTGGCTGTCACAAAAAAAGTATGAATCCTTTAAATTTTGGACACAACAAAAAAAAAAAAATGTTGCTCCACAACTGGCTAGTCTATAAAAATAGCAGTATGTAGTTCCATCTTAATTCAATTCAATTCAATTCAATTTTATTTGTATAGCGCCAATTCATAACAGAAGTTATCTCAGGACACTTTTCAAATAGAGCAGGTCTAGACCGAACTCTTTAAAACATTAACACTTCCATAGTATGGTCTATAATGGACACTGGGGTCACTAGCTTTAGTTTTTATAATTATAGAAAGGGAGCATTAGACTGAAAAGCTGCTTTCATATCTCAAAGTATAAACATCTTCCTGTGACTTAGTTACAGATACCACTCATGGCATACTTGTTTTGTTATTAGTTTCTGTATGTGTTAATAGAGCACTTGTGGAGGCCTTTTGGTTCTTGAAATTTGAGAATCTGTGTCTTATGATCTGTCTGTGATGGGCTTCCCTTGCCCAGGCCATTCCCATCATAGCGGCTCTGCCTGAGCGTTGATGCTGTGGAGCAGCTATTCTACCCGCTTGTCTGTGCTTATCAGCTAGCTCGGGGAACTGCTTGGTGTACAGATGGTCTGTGTACTGCAGTTCTGGAGTTATAAATCGCTGACATTTGGTTTTGGTTTGTCTGTCTATGTGTGTGTTTAGGTTATAGCCCTGAATGACAGCTGCTCCATACTGGAACGGCTTCAGCCCAGCATCTTTAATCTGGGATGGATCTACTGCCCTGCCATCTTTCAGGCATGTATTTGCTAGTTTGGCCTGTAGCTCTCTCAACTGAGATATTTCCCACTTCATCTGTTCTTGCCCAACCAGACTATCCACTTTGTGCCAGAAGGTGGTGTTGAAGTGCAGGTAGATCCTCCAGTCTATAGCATTCCACCTCTTGATTTTCTCTGCAGTGTTTGGTAAAAGCATACGACGAGTTCGTTCATTGCGACTGTTGAGCTTAAAGGAAACCACGTCTTCCAGGGACCAGCAGAGGGCATTCTTGAGCATAATCATGGACTCATCAAAGTATTCAGAAATAAGAATGAGGTGGAAGTCCCGTTCGATAGCTGCAATAGTCATGCTGGCTTTCTCCTCCAGGTTTTCGGCATCAGCTGCAACATTGTTGTCAAAGCCAAAGTCAAAAGCCATTATATTGTGGGCGTAGTGGTTGTTGGCCACTGATGAGTTGTAGCTTCTTCTGCTTGTGTCTAGGAACTCATCCAGGCTGTGAATCTTATGGAAGGCAGGGATGCTCTTGTAGTAAATAAAGATGGACTCCATCATGGCCACAGGATGCCTCAGGATGGAAAAGTAGAAGGTATCCTGAGGCATCACTTTTGCCACCTGGGACAACATAGGAAGAAATTTATTTTAGAGATGGCATTTTGAGAAAATTCAACTTATACACAAAAATTGAAATATATTTTCATGAATGAAGTACATTGTTGTTGTTGTTTGTTTAACCTTAAGAAGTAACAGAAATTAAATATAAAGAAACCGGTAAATCATCTTTTGACAAAGTCTAGTGCAAACAGGTCCATTGGGACCCTGTGTGGGTAGTAAGGGTTCTAGTATTTAAGATCCGTTTGGGCAACTAAGTGTGGCCCATGAAGTTTGTCCAACCCTGTCATTTCGATTTCATATTGATACCATACTATATGTGGGGACCACAACATAAGTGGGTAATGAGCACACCCTACAGCACTGGCTCCCAATCTGGTAGTTCTGGCCTCCACTAAGGGATGCCAAAACTTCATGGGGCTTCCTTGATTTTTATGAGTGTGAGAAGACTTAATACTTAAACAATATACAGTAGGCCCTCATTCCTTTCTGTGATGACAACTAAATTAAGTCTGTATTTTTTTAAAGTTTAGATGATTTTTTGCAATATAAACTAACAGGAAATCTCACAGGATAAGGGCACACTGAAAACCTGAACATAAGCTATGTTCACAGAGCCTCACCCTGCATTAGAAAAGTTCAAACAACTGAAGAGCTAATAGCACAAGGAGAAGAAAAACAGAACTTTAAAAAAAAAAAAAGAAGCCTAAAAAGTATGTATGAAAACTACATTATACAGACAGAACTGTATTAAAAGTTCCTAAAAATATCATGAAAACTCATCTCTGATCAAAATTCACAGCAAATAATCTTCTTAAAATTCATTTGAATCGCTCATTTTACACAAACTTCCTGGAGTTATTGTTTTCACTATTTGGGTTCATCATACAGTTGTTCTGTACTGTCATTGTCATGCATTGAATACAATATGAAATCCATAAAATATGTTATTTAGTCAGGGGTTGTCAGTTTACTTAATGATAGACAACCCAAATGTACAGGCCCACACAGAGCTTTTTGGAATTCAATAAGGTTGCCTATAGGAGGCCCAAATACCACCAATCATTAATCAAAGGGGGTCCCACATAGACATGTTTCCGGGACTCGTCTTTGATCCGGCTAATAAGGTATTTTAGTTTAAATACCATTATGAAATATAAGTCAACATCAAACAATAGCACTATGTTGCAGGTGATCAGCAAGCCAAAGTGTCTATTTGGGCCCCACATGGCTAGGTGATTTATTGCCATTGAAGCCCCAATAGGGCAACTAAATGGGTCCAGTGGCAAGATATTTAAGTCAACTTGATACCACATTAAGGGCTCCATTAATGCCATGCTTTTGTCCATAAAATACTGAGCATTTTGTAGGTGGACACACAAAAGTCCCATCTTCATATAAACTATATTAACTGTATTGACTGACAAAATACGTTTCAAAAAGGCAACACATTTTGAAGAAGCTCACCTCTGATTTTCTAAACCTCATGTGGTTGCACATAATGTGGAACTCCCTCACACTTCTGCTGCTGACACCTTCCACAAAATGTGAAGCAAAGAAGAATGGGTAAAACAACTGACTGTGTTTGTTCAGAGGGAGGGCAAAGGTCAAGTTCCTGCTTTCACCATAGCGATACAAGATGTTTAAAATAGTGCTGCTTGCAGTTTTGTGTGTCTTGAGGAAAACAATGTGAGACTTCGGGTGGCAGGTTGCTTTAGTATGGAAAGTGTTGGTGCGAGTCTTTAAAAAAATGGATGAAGTGGGAGTGTCTGTGCCTGCAATTAAACTTTTCCTGGGACTGGGGAGCACCAAAAAACCTTGCAGTCCATGGCTCTGTTTTGTTTCATATTTTGGTAGGAGCGGATTTCCAGGTGAAACTTTTGTTGCCTCCATCTGAGAGTCTGTAATGCGGTTGACGATTTTTTCCACATGTCTCGAGACAATATAATCTGATGGCTTTCCATATCCCTCGTTCTGATGATGAAGATCTGCCATTCTTTCCGTCTGTAGTGACTTTACGTCCGGCTTTACTGCCAGTGAAGACTCAGAGTGAAGGCCCTCCCAGACATTTTGCAGAGTAGGAAACAGGTGCTGTTTGCTGACAGTGAATCTCAGATGTGGGAGTCCTGTCAGTTTGTCATTCCTGGAGGAAGTCATAAACACAATCAGTGTGATGTAATATAATTTAGAGCATTAGAGCTACTTTTTTGGTTACAGTATAAATGATGATAATTTAAGAAACCTGCAGTTTAAAGGTTGATTGTTACATTACCATAATAACTGCATTTAAATGTCATACTATTGCCAGCATTCACCCTAGTACTGACCCCATGGTTTGAAAACTCTGATAATACAATAGAAATTTCATGGCATGATATTCATCTTGATTTTGATCATTTTAATATAATTTCAGTCGACCAAACTCCGCTATAGATTATTACGCTAATTGCCAGATGGCTGTACTGTACACAACTTCCTATGTTGTAACCAGGAGTCATTGTGGTTTGCACACTATGTGACTGATCAGCAGCAGGGGTCACACATTACAAGATCTTTCACATGGAGTAATCTTGTAGTTTGTCTGGTCTGTCATTGATAACACCCTTAATAACAAGCACATCATGTTTAATTAGGAAAGTAGTTTAAAAACACGCCCACAAAGTGCAACCATTTCCAATTATAATTAGCTTTAGCAGTTAACGAGTGCTTCTGTAGTGGTGACAAAACATAAAATTATACATATCAGCAGTTTTAATCCAACTAAGCTCCCTTTGCCAAGCTCCCTTTAGAAAATATCACATTTTAACAATTCTGAACATTTTACTATAGAAACACAAGATTAAGGGTGTTGACAGTTTTCTTGTCAATTTGGCATCAATATAACCTAACCTAACAATTTGTAGTGTGAGCTCAGCATAGGAGAAGGAAGACTTGTATGTGGATGCAGAGTAGCAGTAATACCTAGCAGTGCTTTCAGGTGAGTGGTGTGGCAGACAGGCAGCATAACAGTGAGCAGAGCACTGACAGCATAAGTACACCATAAGTGCCGAATCATATCAAGTTTCATATCACATCATCCCAAGTATTTTACTGTATGTGCTTTCTTGTCTCACAGATTCTCATGGATCGTGGTTTTGTCTGCTGTTGAGGTCCTGCTTGACGCCCACTGCTAATTTTATTATTGTTTTCAGCATTATTATCAGTATTATTATTAGTCATATTTATATACTATTATAGTAGTTATTGTTGCCATTATAGTTGTGCATCTCATCTCTCCTTTATCAAATGTGTGACAGCTTGATAGAAAGGCAATTTTTCTCTTCTTGACTTTACCTGGCCTGGCGAGCAACGAAGGTCTGAATGGCAATGCAGACCACAAGCAGGATGAGTAAAATCCATAGAGAGTGACGCCTGCTGCACAGCCCTCTCCTCACACACCTGCAGGGGGCACAACAGATACACACACACACACACACACACACACACACTGTTGAAAGCCATCCTGGTACCAGTGAAGCCAGAGAGAGGTCTGATATAGGTCCTTAAATTAAATATGATGTGGTGTAGTTAGTCTTGGTGTGCAATAAGAGATTTTAATGATATAATAACCGTCTCAGAAAATGTCAGTTTCATGGTATAACAGTAATAAACTATTCAATACTGTACATAAGAAAATGAACCACTTACTCCAATATAATAAATATGATACAATTTGATTTATTACAACTTTTTAATTAATATTTTATCTTTTCCATCTGTAGCATTGTTCATTTATAATAGAGAAACATACCCATTTGAGGTGTTAATTTTAAGCATTGTGCAATGAACAAGACTCAACATTCTTGTCTGAACTGGACCTATAACTTTTGGAATTTCTGTGACAGCATCTGGAGATGAATGGCAACCCTGTGGGGGACTTGGTTCAGAGTGGAGGGAATGACAGCACGAGAGAACATCCAGTAACCTTTGCCAACACAGGTCTTCCAGGGACTCACACTGCTTCTGGGTGAAACAATATATCAAACTATGTTGGAGTGAATTTTCCATTTTAACAGACTCATGGAAAACCACAGTCTCTACTCACAGTGTCTCGCCAACAAATACTCCCTGCCTCAAATAAACACATTTGATTTGTTTGTATTAAATTGTTTAGTGTTTTTTATTTCTGTTCCATTTAAGCTTTATTCTAAATTATATTTAATGAAAGATTAGAATAAGACACAATCAGTTGTCTATTTAATAATTATTAACTGCAAGCTACAATTCTGTTGTTAAGGATTTATTGGTAGGAGGTTATATCAAATGTGTCAAGAATGTTACACAACAGATTTTCTACTGATGAAGCAAATTGAACTAAATCCAACCAAAGTGTAGGAGATACAGATTTATAGCTTTCGTTTGGCACTCTGGAATGCTGTCGACATGCTTATCATGTTGGACCCAGTTAACCTTTAGTCTCAACGCCTTTTTGGAGGATTAGAGAAAGTATGTGCTCATTCTTAAATTCCCCCCCCACCCAAAAAAAAAAGATTTATCATCATAGTCTAAAGGCAAGAAGACAAAACATGCAACAACGAACGCTCTTTGTGTAGACACCATAGGTGTGCAAGCCTGACTATAGAGATGTCCTGAGACGCTGAGTGTCCATACAGATGTTCTGAATTAACTTAATGAGCTGGCTTTGTCCATAAATAGTGTAATGTGATGTAAAAGCTCAGCTGGAAACTGAAAATGAAACTTAGATTCTGGCTGGCCACGTTTTCTTGCCTTCTGATGACTCTAATTAAAATATTTTTTTTTCCTCTCTTCATAATGTGTTATCCTTTCGTCATTTGAGTAGTTTATATTATCCTCAACAGTGTTTTTTAAAATATATAAACAACTAAATAATTACGTAAATCCCTACATCATTTTTGGCTATGGCCAGTAGGGGGTTCAGTGAGCCACCTATACCAACTGTGCCATATAATCATCACTTTTTTGTGGCTGTTTTGGTTTATTTTAATTATCTTTTTCTATGTGTGTAGTATGAAGCAACTGCAAACTTTCATTTTGTTAAAACAACCTTGTGTTGTATAACAATAAATATATTTCTTTGATTCCTTGATTAGCCTCACTAGCTAAATTACATTTTTTTTTAGCTTCAAGTGGTACAATAATAATACGTTAAATAGAGATGGGGATTCTGCTGTGACACAAATACAATTCATGCAGGTTTAAGAGTAAGTGTATAACGTTCACCCTGGCTTATGTGATACAGTATGCATTATGATAATGTATATAGTATTTCAGTTTTGAATAGATAAATAGATGCTTTATTGTCTATATTAAGAAAGACAAAAAAGTTAAGGTCCAATAATTTTAACCTAGAAAAGAATAGTTGGGGCCAGTTCAGGTCCATGTGTGATTCCACACAGCAGAGAAGTGTCCATTGGCTTTGTCATGTTCTGTTGGTTTGATGTTTTTAGCACAGTCAGAGCTTTCTATAAACAGAGCTTAGCAGCCAGCCGCAGCTCCAACCACAGCTCCAGATGGAAAAGAATTGTTTTGGTTAGCCAAATCCAAAGTCCCACAAACACTGATGAAAACAATGCTTACTGCCGTTGGATTACAGGAGTAGCTAGTCACTCAGACAGAAGTATTTTATGGACATGCTTGAACACTCCTCCAGCTGAAACGGGAACCTTAATCAGTTCAGTAGGGATAAATATTTAAGGCATAATCAACAAATCATTCATGGCCTTATAATCTGCCTCAATCTACTTTATAACATGTAGATCAATCCTGTGGAACTGCTTAATTCCTCATTGGTCATTTATCACATCACCATTGTCAAATTACAGCTTTCACTCTAAAGAACAACAAACTAGTGTGTGTTCAATATTTTTCTCATTATAAACCAGTGTTGGGCAGTAACACATTACTTGTCATAATATTTCAGTAATGATATTACTTTCCCCAATAAATAATAGTATAACTAATTACTAATAATTATAATAATAAATGTCAGTAATAATATTACAGTTACCCTCCAAAAGTAATTGGTTTCAGCCTTACTTTTGTTGTCACCACCCTACTGATCAGCGACTGGGAATATTCCCATTACTTAGATTCTTACAAACAAAACTGGATTTTTTAAATTGTGAATAGCAGGGTTCAAGAGACAAAGAACTAATGAAGCTTGTGACTGGATAGGTGGTGAATATGAGCCCGACACTGTTGTCAACAAATTCTATGTGAACAGCATTTCTCTCAATTATTTATGACTTATCTACTCTCTCTGTGGCTCTCTGCTCCAATCCCATTGGTTTCCTACTAAAGATAAAAAAAAAAACACTTTTATATATTTTTTCATTATTAGTGTAGTTGTTGCTACTGTTGCTGGTGTGCACCTTTGTCTCTGTCTCTGTCCTTCTGTCTTTACCTCTGTCTCTGTCCTGATGCCAAGACCTACAGCAAATACTGATTCCTTTCTAAAGATTTCCAAATAAATGTGTAAATCATGTCCTTTATAGGCTACAGTCCTGTGATATTATTTGTTTTCTCTGTATTTGGCAGATTGAGAGGGTGTTATTTGATATAGTTTTATCTCTTTTTCTTTTTGCCTGTATGAATAGCCTGCTTTATGTTTATGTTCATACTGACTGACAAAGATCTCGTCGACAGCCTCTCTTTTCCTCTGTTGTTTTATTTTTGTTCAGTAATTTCCTGTAACAGCTTAGATCTGTTTTTCTGGTAACATTCAATACATTCATTTTTCAAATAAAACAACCAACAACTTTCACTAAAGACAAACACTTCCTCAAACTTTATATATTTTATCATTATATCTTGTAATGTCCAAAGAACAGTGTGGAACCTATTCTGAACACTTTCAAACTATTCCTCCAAAGGTATAATGAAGCAATATGGTTTTATAAATTGAATATGGTCAGTAACAAACAACATGGTTTGTGTTGCCACTTTGGATTTGCACATGCCTAGTTCAAAGCACACACAGTTTGTGTTTCAGATAGATTAGATTAGATAGATACTTTATTTGTCCCAAGGGAAATTCAAGTATCCAGTAGGGTACAAAATACAAAACATACATTAAACATACATGAAACGTTTCAGTTTCCTTATATAAGGTGATTTCCATACTGTATGGAAATGAGCAGAAACCACGAGCTTCCTGTAACTGGGTATATTTTTGAAAACTGTCTGCAGAGATGTAAAGTAAGACCCCATTCTCAGTCTGTTAAGGTAGGACGACAAAGTGTTTGCAAACATCAGCACTTAATGAGGGGGGTAAGGCCACAGGTTTCCCCGGGCAACAGCAACATCTGGAGCCCAGCCTGCTCCTCCTCCAGGCCTCCCTCTGCAGCCCTCACAAACACACGTGAACTTTTAACCTCTCTGTGCAAGTTAAGAGGTAGCTTTAGGTAGGCAACTCTGGCTTTTGAGGAATTCTAGGCATCACTCTGCCAGCAGTGGCCTGGAGCTCTGTCAAAAGCAAAGCCAGTGTGAGTGCAGATCAATGTGTCCTCTTAACTTACTGCGGACTGACACAGCCAGGTCACCCTGAGCTAAGAAATTGCATTCATGATCTAAACTAAACACAGGGCTGTTGATATGAAGCCTGGAGAGAATGTGTAAGCAGCTCAGTCGACTGGAGTTGGAACAGTTAAAGGGACACATAGACATTTACATCAGTAGACCATACCAATTCTCAAATAAAATAAGCAGATCCCAAATAATAACAAGCAAAAAACGGATAGTCACTGTTAAAGGGAAAGTAATTACAGTATGCAGCTTGAATTTTATCAACAGACTCATGTCATACTCACCACTCTGTTGACAGCACTTTCTCTTTTTAACAGTACTACTGTTTTCACTCACTGATTATTTACAATTGCTTCAACTTTGCTCCACCGGTCCTGCAGATATTTGGTAAATGGTAAATGGGATGTTCTTTGAGCTGCTGGGAGGCTTTTAATGAAATATTAGGTTTGTCACGAAAATTATAGACTTGTTATGCAATATATATAATATGTAATTATTCCCTGTCGTAATATGAACTTATCTAAAGATATATGGACATGACATCAATCATTTTTGCTGACCTTGATATTGCCCATTGTGTTAACAGCAGGGTTTTCCCTGTAAGGTAATTTTTTAGAGCCAGTGTTTGATTTGTCCATTCTGGGCTACTGTAGAAACATGGTGGTACAATGTGGTCAACTAAATGAAGCGTGACTGGTGATTATATACACTATGTACTACAATAATGAAAAAACATTCCTATTATTACCTGATACCTAATATTTTATTCAGTTTTTGACAATAGATCCTCCTAAATGTTACACGCTGGACCTTTAGAATTAAAAGTTATACTAGCATTAACATGCTATTCATTATATCATTGGCATAAAATGTCTTAAAATGACAATAATAAT